GAGAAGCAGAGGATATTATTGAAGAGGATCGTGCAGAACCTGTGCAAGCACAGCTTTTAATGGTAGGCCTATGTTGTTTGTTTGTTGTTGTCTCATACTTTTAGATATGTTATTTGTAAATGCTACTGCTTATGTTAGCTTTTAATATACGGTTTTATCCTGATTAAAGCTTTAATACAGTACAGCAACCGCATGCGTGTCCATGTATAATGCTTCTCATAGCTATGAGAGAGAGAGAGAGAGAGCGAGAGATGCAGAGCGTGTGCCGAGCAGGCGACGTGAGGAGCAGTATTAAGAATCGCTGCTTTAGAACATTGATTTTGAAACTTGTGAATCCATTCGAATCGTTAGAAGACAGAATCGCGATTCATATATGAATAGATTTTTACGTGCACCAGAGATGCAGAGCGTGTGCCGAGCAGGCGACGTGAGGAGCAGTATTAAGAATCGCTGCTTTAGAACATTGATTTTGAAACTTGTGAATCCATTCGAATCGTTAGAAGACAGAATTGTGATTCATATATGAACAGATTTTTACGTGCACCTCTAGTTTTCTCTTCCTCTTCTCTAAAGCAGCGCAGCATGGCCTCGCCCCCTTTGCTTCGTGTTCCCGGGGGCGGGGTTTATCTGGGTTTGTGATGTCACGAACCCGGGAAGTAATTCGTTGTAGTCCTTACCAGCCGTTTTTGTAGGCATTAATCTGCCAGAATTTTAAAAGACGATATCTCCTTTTGCATTGAACTTTCAGCTTCGTAACTTTGCAGATATTGTTTATGCTCAAACAGCAACATTACACACTAACGTTAAAAAAAGTGAAATCGCAATCAACCACCCCTTTAATACTGAAAAAGTTGCTTTGACAATCTGTATTGTTAAAAGTGCTATATAAATAAAGGTGACTTGACTTGACTAGACTAGAGTCATCTGCTAGGTGAGAAGCCTGATCACCTCTCTTCAGTAATCCACATGAATTTAGGAACCATTCATTGTCTATAGCACAAACGATGCAGGACAAGTTAAGTGCAATATTTGGATTATGGAGTTTGTTCAAATCACAAATCTTCATTCTGAGCAATAATAGTCACACTTGTCCTAGCAAACATCACTAACAAAATATAAAACACTAGGATATATTAAATGGCAAGCATGCCAAAAGACGTATTGACCATGCAAAATAAAGCAAATTTATAAAATTAAGTTGCTCTAATATTTTTCAGGGTGCTTATGCATAAATCATGCAATCATGCTGAATGCATATTTAGTCTGTGAGATGAGTCAATCAATCTCTGTGGTGCATCAGAGGCGGTGATAGCCAGGCACAGGAGCCCAACACATTCTGCTGATTGCAGTGCACAACTTCCTGCAAAGTGAGTTTTAAAAAAAAAAGAGCCAAAATTAATAATTAAAAGCTTCCCCACTGATGTCAGGAAAAAGCGTGTTTCTCATTCACACCATGAGCAATTATTTAGACAATTTGGCATCGCGAGAGGGAATTATTTGCTAAAGGCTCTAATTTGAGACATTGAGAGAAAAAGTAAAAGAAAATTCAAAAATAAAAAAGGATCGACCAGCAGCATCATTTTGTAATCCCACACAGAATGGAGCTGATGATGTTAGTTTTTAGCACCATCTGCTGTGAATTGCGACATGTCTAGAGAACACGGGGGGAGAGAGGAAACAGTCAATTGGATTACCCAGTGAGTAATTGAGCTACGCAGCTGCCGAACATGAAAAGCAAACTGCCAGTGTATGTGGGTGGATGAAAATCACAGAAGTTCAGTGGTTGATACAGGCCACTTTCACTTCCAAACTGCGACACCAGCAACAATGAAGTTTCCAAAACTCAATCATTCAGTTTGGTTTACTTTGGGGAAACAGCCATTTTCAATGACTTCATTAAAAAGTCAGTTTGACCCAAAAACTTTTGCAGTGTTCACGCAGCTCTTTTCCCTGATCACGGGCTGTCAAGCCCATCAGAAAAAAACTAGTCCATATCATTTGTATGGTACATTCTCACTTGTTCAAAGCCAAATAATAGCCTTTTGCAAGGAAAAGACAAAAATGTAATTCCATATTGACTGTTTCTCAGTACTACCCTAGGCAAATCAAAGCATTGCAAGTCAAAACAGATTCATGACTTATTATAAATTGAATCGTGAATGCTGAATTCAGAAATCACTTGGGTGCATCAGGGAGGCAACAATATACAGTAATAGTAAGTAAATTAATGAAAATGAGTGAAGCAGCCGGCCAAAATGTTCACTAAATCACCAGAATTTCTCCCAGTGCTCTCGATGGCATGGTGACCTGCCTAATATTGTGGATCAAAGAGTCTGTCTTGTATACATATACTTTTGTGAAAGAAACATCCATTTTGTGATTGACATTAAAAGGAATACAAAATGGAATGTACCAAAACAATTCTTGAAAGAAAATATGCATTTTGCAGCACAGACAGATCCTTTTCATCCATGAAATTAGGTGCGTGTTAAAAGATGAGCTTACAATTACAAGGAAAAGTGGGGGGGAAAACACCTCAGAACTGTAAGACATTAATTTAAAATTACAAGATACAAACTCAGAATCGCAAGAAAATAAGTTGAGAATTTTGAGATTTAAAAAATTTTTTTTTAATTATTATTATTTCTGTGGAGTACATTTTTTTAATCTGTCGCCCACAAAAAGCTATTAGTATGACTTCAAAGGACTAGGACTGTAGTACATGAGACATAGGAAGTACTTCAATTGTGTTTTTGTCCTTTCAGGAGCTTGACGGCCTCTGGGCACTATATGCTTCTGCTGTATGGAAAAGAGCAGCGAGAACATTCTGGTAAATTACTCACTCCACAAAGGAAAGAAAAATCATTCCAGTTTGGGTAAATGACACTTTGCACTATTACTTTAATAGTTGGCTGACTTAGACAGGCTGTCATATGTCATTGATGTGAGAAAGACACTGATGAAGAGTCATGCTATGTTGAAGAACTTCTATTGCATGACCTTTCAGCCATGAACATCATTAACACATGCATTTTCTCATCCGAAAGGTGGATCTTTCCTAATTGGCAGCCTTTACCTCATTAAAATCTGTGATTTTATATGCCGTTTCTTCCTGAACCCTAAAGAACCCTAAAGTCTGACTGTCTATCTATATCATGGCACCATTTTACTTTGTCTGAAATGTAAACAAGCATCAAACTTGAAGGAAACAGTTTTTAAGAATGTATTATCGGCTCCACTGCATGAGTTCCGCTGCTTGTCACATTTAATTAGCAGTTATACTCTTTTTAGAAACTACAGTGACAGAGTTGAGGACCGCATGAATCTGAGTCATCACTGCTTCAAGACCAAGAGCCGCTCGTTAGTTGATTATACCTGATCATAAAGCTTCCCCACGAGTTTGAGATGCTTCTCCCCGCCCTCAGAGAAGACCACACCGTTCCTCTGCTGGGCCATCAGGAGACACAGCGGTAAAGCCAGCTCGTGGTCCAGAAGAGCATCCTTCAGACGCTGAGACGACTTCTTAGTGTTCCTGATCTGTCCAAAGTAGCCACCCTGCACACACAAACAACAAGAAATCAACAAAAACACAAACGCAATGTTCTCGTAGCTGCCATGATCAAGTCAAAAGTCACAACCAGGTCAATATAGAAGCTGCGCAGACTGAACTCAGCAGTCTCTTGTGCTCGAGTAAGTGAAGTAACTTCTGAATTGATTCATTATGAACACCTACTGTCCCATGTGGTCTCACTTTAATTGCCTCAGTGTTTTCAAGTAAGCACTGTTAAATGAGACATATTATGCCCCTTTTTACAATATGTAATATAAGTCTCTGGTGTCCCCAGAATGTGTCTGTAAAGTTTCAGCTCAATATACTCCACAGATCATTTATTATAACATTTTGAAAATGCCTATTTTGAGTGGAAGCAGAAACACGCTGTTTTTCGGGCCTGTCTCTTTAAATGCAAATGAGCTGCTGCTCGTGGTCCAGAAGAGCATCCTTCAGACGCTGAGACGACTTCTTAGTGTTCCTGATCTGTCCAAAGTAGCCACCCTGCACACACAAACAACAAGAAATCAACAAAAACACAAACGCAATGTTCTCGTAGCTGCCATGATCAAGTCAAAAGTCACAACCAGGTCAATATAGAAGCTGCGCAGACTGAACTCAGCAGTCTCTTGTGCTCGAGTAAGTGAAGTAACTTCTGAATTGATTCATTATGAACACCTACTGTCCCATGTGGTCTCACTTTAATTGCCTCAGTGTTTTCAAGTAAGCACTGTTAAATGAGACATATTATGCCCCTTTTTACAATATGTAATATAAGTCTCTGGTGTCCCCAGAATGTGTCTGTAAAGTTTCAGCTTAAAATACTCCACAGATCATTTATTATATCATTTTGAAAATGCCTATTTTGAGTGGAAGCAGAAACACGCTGTTTTTCGGGCCTGTCTCTTTAATTGCAAATGAGCTGCTGCTCCTTTCCCCCTTTTCCAGAATAGAGCTGCGCCATTACATCTTGGACCTGCTAAAAACATCTGTCTTGGTTCTGATTATCATGTTTATCGCGCTGAAATCATGCGGTTTAAACCATATGAGTTTAAACTTCTGATATACGGTTTTCTGAGTTCACACATCCGAAGCACACGGACAGAAAGCGGCCGTCACAGCACGTGAGTACTAAACTAGTTCTCATTCACACACACAAGTTTACGTTTACAAAAACAGTCGGTTATGTCTGTGAAGGTAAACTGCTGGGAAAAAAATTGCATGTTTATTTTAGATCTAAATAGTGTTCTGTGATCGTCTGTGCAGACAAATTGTTAATGTTAGCATGTTTTGCTCAAACTTTCACCATGGCATTAGAGCTGGTACACCGTTGTCGCTTGTGAAATCAAATGACGGTGCCGTGAGTGGAAACTTACAGATTAAGGGGTGGTAATATTATAATGAGACCCCTTTGCCATGTCACCAAGGGAGTGAAATCAGACGCGCTCGTTTTCTCAGACGCTTCCTTGGTTGGTAGATGCCCCAGAGACCTGATTATAGCACTTAAAACCTGGAGAAGTCAGATTTTCATGATATGTCACCTTTAAGGCAAACACCATCTGCAATACATAAACTTGGTACGTGTTTGAGCAGCTAAGTAGTGCTGGTTTGCAGACTAACAGGGTAACACATGAACTCTAGCTATATCTCGTAACAGGAGACTTGATTTCCACACAAGCACACTTCTAGCGTTCGACACCTGAAACATCGCTGCAGCCCTAATATTTCGCAATAGCATCCATACATTCATAAACATGGCTTTAGCTTTTTGCTGAATGATGACTATGACTACATGTGTGGCGTACCTCCGCTTTGAGCTGTTCTCCGCCTGTCATGGCCTCCAGCTGCTCCACAGTCATTTCATCCGTGATCTCAATTCCGGCCATCTTCTGCACCACCTCCTTCAGGATCAGCAGGTCAAAACTGGCACAACATAAGACACATGAATGATTAAAGAGCTCGATAAAAACCAAAGCTGCTCTTGGGGATTTCTGCATGCTTGATGACACTGGATAAAGGAAACTAAATAAAGAGCTGTGGTTCCTAGAGAACATCCTCAAATATGGACTGGTGGATCCAGCTCTAGTTTGAATGCACTGGATCCCCAATTTCAATTATATTTTAGTTGGTAAAGCACAACGCTATTAGTGTACCCTTTTCAAACCTGCAACCCATTTTTGGGTCACAAGACACCAGTTGTGAATCACAGCCAAAATTAAGACTACTTTGCTATGCTAATGGAAAACTAGAACATCTCAGATTGATTGTTTTTACATTGAGAGAAAATTCAGCTACTTAATAAGAAATCACCCCTCACTGAAAACATCATCGTCAGTCAAATCCATGATCTAACATGCATTAGGCCCATTCACATGTATGAAGCTCAGTCCAGATTTCAGAGTAAGTGCTAGTCAATTCTCTGGTCTGTCAGCGAGGGCTTTAACTGCCTGCCTACACACGTCTCTCTGGAGTGTTGAAGGATAACCCACACCTTATTAACGCTGCTGCTTACACATAAGCAGAACAGCCTCACATACAGCTGTGCAGGGAAATCTCAGACAAGCACTGGGATCAACTGCTTTAGTCCAAAGAAATGCATCAATTTAATTGTTAATTGCTGCAGAGTAAATATATTGGGCATTTGGACTAGAGTGAACCAGTGTTGCAAACACAGCACATGTTAACACTGCTGTATAAAATGTCCTGTATATAAAAAGTCCTAACATTGAATATACTCACCATTCATCGAGAAAATCAAAAATTAATCTGTCCAGATACTGAACACTTGGAATGAAGGGGTTAAATATTGACTTATTCATAAAATTGCAAAAAGTATTAAAAAAAAAAAAACTACTCTTGTACTTTAAGGATATATACTGTATGTTTTGAAAAACAGCAGTATAAAAATTCATTTTCAAACTAATTTGGGTTTGAAAATGTCACTTTTCTGCTAGAGAACTGGCCATATTCCAGAGGTCCTCTACACAAAATGACTACAGAAAATTCAACCTAGCATTAAAAAAGTAATCAAATAAAAAGATAATAATGTCAAAAGAATGCTTTGCAATATTTTTATTTTTTTTGTAAACAATCTTTTAAATGAAGATTTTCTTGTAGGTCCGCATGAATATATAGCAACACCGAGTGCAAAACTATTTCAATAGTCAGTAGAATGGGCAGTAGAGATGCGTAATACAATAAAAATATAATAATAATGTTTTTCAGCAACATATGAGGTTATGAAAAAAAAATACAGGAATTTTATCCTGTTGACTTCAGCACTAGCACTATTTGAAAATAATTCTTCCTTCTAATTGAGTGATTCTGTGAGGAAGAGCATCTGCATAGTGTAAAAACTTGAGAAGCTGAAAAAATTATTTATTCTCTGACGGTCTGAACCATTTTTGGGGGTGTTTACACTTCGGTATATTCTATGCAATAAACTTATAACAAACATCTATTTCAAAAACCTTAAAGTGAAAAAATAAAAATCACTCGTTTCATTCACAACTTTACCACTTTGACAAAATAAATGATCATTTTTATTGTGGATACATTATATAAAAAAGAAAAAAATAAATATATAGCTGCAGTCATAGGTTTACATACAGCTTGCAAAATGTTTACATTTTAACAAAATAACAGGGCATTGCCCCGAGTAATCCATTTCACTCAACAGAAGTTTGAATATAGTCCACAAGACAAAACAATAGCTGAATGTATTAAAAAAAAAAGGACCCTGTTCAAAAGTTTACATATGCCAGATACTGTGATTTTGTATAGTAACATGATCAGTTGCAATGAAGCGTGGGCTAAAAACACCACAGTGACACTTTAAAAAGCAGGTCAGGACTCAAGAACAGCAAACATACCTCTTGCCTGCTTTCAGCTGGTTGGTCACATACTGCAGAAGACCAGCTAACTCGATGGGATATTTCCTGAAAACCGCTCCGCAAAGACTAGCGAGACCTAGGGAAAGAAAATATTATCATAAGAATGAGCATTAGAATCTGAATGAGGGCGAGTCAAGAAAGTCACGCATTTGTGCTCCAAATTGTTTTCCGGACACTCTCCAGCAGCAGGGTCAAACCATTTCAAGAAATGACATTTAACGTCCATTAAGAATGTCAGACGGAAGTTCAATTTAATCGGCATCTCGACACACCGAAGAGGCGTTTTAGAGGGAACGCGGCACTCACTCTGCAGCCATGATGAAATGGTGGTGTCATCGTGTTTCATCTTCTCTTTCTCTGGGTTGGCTAAAGCTTCAATAATGCAATCTGCCCACACGGTCAAGGGCTCAAACGCACCACGTCTCGCTCTTTAAAGATAACACTCCCGCTGTAAGCGGCAGACACTGTTCAGACTATTACTCATACAGTCAGACATTGTTTTGGCATGTTCAAAAGAAAATTAACAGTCTATTTTCCTCTGCAGAAAATGCTTTTTTCCCTCATTTTAAACACACAAAGCTGTCAGCTTCAGTGTTGATGATGAAGTCAAGGTGAGCGATTACATGCTATTTTAATCACGCACGCATTACGGGACTTTGGAGGAGATCAGCAAGTTCCTGTGAGAGCTGTTATTAGCGGAGGGGGAAGATTATTATACAGTGGGAGTGTAATTATAACAACCGTCTGAAAGGATACAGGCCAGCACATCATAGTTGAGAGAGGTGAGGTATTTGAGAGAGTCCACCACTGGAGTTATGAGGTTATCGTACCACTGGATCTGAGACAGAATCTGAAAGAAAAGAGAGCGCCATTACATATACCCAACAATAGAGGCCTCTGCTGTGACTCACAGCTCACTCCTCCTACATACGTGTTTAGTTTTATTCCCCTGAGGATAAAACGGATTTTGGTGCCAAAAGCAGACATTTTTATATACCATTTTCCACTCTTAAAATTAAACAGACCGGTGTGAAATATAGATTTCACTGCCTCAAGCTTCAATCATCGTGTCTTTGCAAAACGGCATTATATTAATGAATCTATCAGAATCCAAGTGTGTCATTCAAACTTCTAATGTCAGTCTGAAATCATCAGAGATACCGATAAAAATAAAATAAAAAATAACCATCCATTTCTAACAGAGCTGATTATCGCTACTATGTGAGCGCTGCTAAAACTCCTGCGGTGCTTTTGACAGCGTAAACGTCTCTTCCACTTGCCAGAGTGCTGCTCTGCGGTTGCTAGGGTGTTGCTAGGGTAATTGGTAAGCAGATTTCTTAGGTTTAAGGGTTTGTTAAAATCACTGCCCTCAAGTATGAGGAACCGTAATAGAGATCAATCAATCAATAATCAGTTTTACCAAAAGTTTCCAATATTTAAGCATTTTTCCTTAATCAGAAATCCAGTTTGTAATACTGGATCCACAAAAAAAAAAAAAAAAAAAAAAAAAATGAAGCGGAGGCTCCCAGCTGTTTCACAGGCAAATTCAATTTTCCGGGAATAGTGGTGACCACTCCAGAAAACCAATTAGATCTCCTCTTCATTCACCCTGTGCTGCCAAGGGCTAGACAAAAGAGACGGCCTCTTGCTTCAAACCGCCTACTAACATTACAGCGGGCTTTCACCATTATCCTGAAGCCGGAGCTTACATGTGCCATACCCACTTCACTATAAATAAGACTTTTTAATGTTCACTCATTGGACACTAAATTGGCATGTCAATTTAAGACCAAACATGTTATCAGTGCAATCACCCTTTGAACTTGTAGTTATAGCGTATTTGCCCTTTTTATGAGTCACTTAAAGCTATAAAATATGTGTTTTCAAGCCTGTCAAAGGCCCTGTGAAATTAAACCAAAACAAAAGTAATGCATTAAATACAAATTGGTTCTAAATAATGGTTATTAGAAATACTCATTTGTTTGATTATTTTGGCCTGCAAAAATGCATTTTAGCACTTCTGGTTCTGTCATCCTGAAGTCAATGGCTTTTTGGTTAAATGTCTGAAAACACAAGATCAAGCTATTTTCACATCTTATTCTAAACCACGAGATAGGCAACATCAGTAACACCCCCTTTGAGTTTTTTTTTCTTCTTTTAATTGTCTTTAAAAAGCTGGTTGCTAACAAGTGACTAAATGGGACTAGAGAAGTTGTCAGGGACATTCAACATCAGTGAACATGCTAACTAGTCATTGTGTTTATAATCACACTCCTGCAAACTACTCTAACTCAAACTTTCCAAAGTTAGATTTTAAAGGGTGGTGAGTGTTGGTAGTGACGCTCAAGTCATGTGACTGTGGTGTAGTTCTTTTTGCTTTTTACATCTGGTGACTGGATTTAGATTGCAATAATCCAAAAGCCAAAATAAAAATTGTTTTTTTGTCAAGGGAACCAATCTACAAACATACATAATCACTGCAGCAATCAATATTAGTCGATGCATAATTATATTTCCCTGGTCATGTAGAATACACTGTACAATTAGCCCAGGGACATTGATTCTAGGAAACGGAATCAATTTTGATTTCATGTTGAACTGTGGCGAGTGTTTGTTCAGAGTTCAGAGGCAGCAGCTTCAGTCCGAGGCCCCTCTCTCTCTCGGCGCTCATAAAATGAGGAAAGGCGTCAGAAAAGCACAGTCCTCAGCGACTGAATAACACAGCCTTCATCAGAGCTCATCTCAGTCTTTTATTTCACCACTGAATCTTCAGAATTTTTTCAGAAATGCTAATGAGCTCAAAGCCTTGCCGACGTCAGCCACTTCCAAGTCTTTTCTTGTCAGTGCATGAGAGCAAAACTCGTGGAGTCTCTCATCGCTGAAGACGTGCGCAGCATGAACGATGACAGCAGAACGAGACTCTGCACCACTTATTCAGAACGAACCCAGCAGAAAGCAGCATCCTGATGAAAACTTTCTGGCACACGTGAAGATCTGTCAGCCCAGGCATGAATTCCTTACATTCGATGGAGATGAATGCGATTACCACTAGCCTGCTGACTAACACAGCCTAAATTTAGCCTCGTGTTCATGCTCTCGTTCTGATGTTGGGCATTAGGCCACTGGTCTGAGCTTTTTAATCTTGGGAGCAATGGAAATTGATGGCACACTGCAGATTATAAAGTAGCCCTGTAAAAGCATGTCATGAGTCTAGCGGACCATTATGGCCGTCACAAGCAATAAAATACTCACATAATCAAAGAGAATGGTGGGGTTACTGTGGCTTAACTTTCCGATCTGCCTTCCTGAGGGCTTCACGTTCTCCTTAGTCAGTCGCCTGAGGGGAAAAACAGCCACAGAGAAGGTGAAAACCAGAAAAAGTGGCACAGACACCAAAAAGGGACGATTAATAAAACTTACACTCACCATAGACTAAAACAGGCCTGTTAAATGGCTATACTAACTAATCCGCAGACATCTGGCTGAGAATAGGTAAAAGCAATATCTCTACAGCAGGGGTCTCCAACCCTGCTCCTGGAGAGCTGCCGTCCTACAGCTCCAATCCCATGCAAACACACCTGAGCCAGCTGATCAAGGTGTTCAGGGTTACTTGATGATTACAGGCAGATGTGCTGGAGCAGGACTGGAACTTAAGTCTGCAGGACAGTTAGTAGGCCTCCAGGAGCAGGGCTGGAGATCCCCGCTCTAAAATACACATTTCTTTGAAACTTCAAGGCATTATTAGTAGGGCTGGGTTTTGACACAAATTTCACAATTCGATTCTATTCTCATTCACAAGCTTGCGATTCGATTCGATTACCAATTCGATTCGATTTCGATTATTTTGGATATATATCAGGTACAGTACATGCCAAATTTTCTCAAGGGAAAAACAAAAATCTCTCAACTAATGCTGTAAAATATACACGAGTCATTTGGTACTACATTACTATAATATTGAAGGTTAAAATTTGACTGATTTGTAAGCTATACAACGGCTAAAATTTCACTTAATGAAGTTAAAATTACAAAATAAATTATATTGTTTAAAATAAAGTTACAATTACATAATATTTCTACTTCAATTAGTTTTTTAAAATATAAACATTTAAATGGTGGCTGTCATAAAAACTTGATGGATTTAAATCATAAATTAAACATTGAAGAACAGTAAAAATTATAATGAGTATGTTATATGGTGCATACATTTTTGCAAAATGCTCCTCTCTACAGTTTATTTTTCTATCTGACTAATGAGTTTATGGTCACCAAATATGTTTTTTTCTGAGGTAAATATCGATTAATATCGAGATATCGATATTTTTTACCCAGCCCTAATTATTAGTAATGGGTACTGCATGAAGCTTGGAAATCTTAATTTCTTGTTTCAAATCAGGCCAAGTCATGTGATTTTAGCAAATGAGACTTTGTGTTATGTTATACGGTTTCAAACTTAGGTTTTCAAACGGTTCACTGCTAGGTGCCGCTGATCTGGTAAACCCATGAAAGGGTGTGTAACGGTTTTAACTAATCTCAGGTCTGAGAGGTAATACAAAAATGTGAATGATATTTATTTGTTTCTAACTTGCCTAGTTTGACAAGACCTGTCTAAAGGCCAGCTCACCCCAGCAGGTAAACTCATCTACCAGTCAACATTCACAGCCTTGTTGTGTTAGAACTACTGCTGTCAAATGATTAATCGCATCCAAAAAAAAGTTTGTTTACATAATGTGTGTAATGTGTATTTTTATTATGTATATATAAACTAGTGGTGTCAAAATTAGCTCGTTAACACAGGTGATTAATTTTTTCAGTTTAACGCGTTAAAAAATATTTCACGCAATTAACGCAGGGGCGGGGCTAGGGTTGGCCACCCCACTCACAACTGCTGCTTCTGTCACTTTCTCTTGACAAGTGCATTTATTCAGTCACAGAATGACCGAACAGGAGACGTTTCAGACGCGCGCTCCACTTCACTTCAGCGCCAGGCACGAGTCAAGCGAACGTGGAAACGGTACTGTGCTCGCAGTGCGTGCTCTTCAATTGCACACACAAAGGCGCCGGCACGTGCTGTAGCCTGTATCTTTTCATATCAAAGCACGAAATAAACTACGTGCATGCAATGCCGTGGTCAGTTAAGTCATGAAGTTACCAAAAAAGGCGATTAAAGCTGCCTTAAAACTGTGCAAGCATGTAATATATTTTATATGCGTCACATTTAAGAACATGTCTCTGAAATGGTTTTCAAAACTGTCCTGGAGCAGTCCAGCACCGTCTCATCTAACACACCCGATTTAACTCGTCAGCTCATTAATAGAGACTTTAAGACCTGAAGTGGGTCAGAA